GTAAGAACGGCACCAATACATTCATTATTCTTACGTGGCGCATTTGCTGACAAAAATGCTTTTAAAGAAGATACCCGCCCTAATTTCTACATTTCGACCTCAATCTGTATATCTAACAACATATGGATGAAAAGAGAGCTGTACGGAAATGTTACATTTATTGCTGCTATTACATTAGCAAAATCGATAGTGCATATGAAAATACCGATAGAATGCACTTTTTTGTTGATGAAAAAATGTGAACGCAAAGATTGCCATTTTCCATTCAATTCTATTTTTTATTTCTACTTATTTTCGACCTCCTCTCTCATCGACCTATCTCACTCTTTGAAAAAGATAATGAATGTGTGTGTAACAAAATAATGAAAGTTTTGACGAATGATCAGAAGAGTGCATGAAAGCAGTAGCGGCAATTTGAGCTTCTCATCTAATCGTGAGAATTCTTTGTATTAGCAATTAGCGTAATTTGCGTTTGATTAATCTATTCATGATAGTATATAAAAGGGAGTGATAACAAATTAATGATATCATTGTAAAAGATTTGTTTGTTGTAACTTGTCTGTATGTCCGTTCTTATGACTACTACTGCTACTGCCAGATCATTGTCCCGAGAGGAATCGGTCGATATGAAATGTCCCAAATGTAAATTACATTTTCATTTCTCGCTCAAAGTAGTTGTGAAATGAATGAAGAAGGATTCTCACATCTTGTCATTTTTACTTACTGCACGCATTAATCTTCTAGGAAAGTAAACATTCAAAACAGTGATGCTTTAAAATATCAAATAAATTTTCCATATTCATTTTAAAAGGTGAATATTTACTTTATTATATTTGAGAGATATAATTCAAAAGTACAATCGATTTAATTATAATTTACAGACATAATAGATACGGTGAAATATTTTTGTGATAGTAATGTCCTCATAACTTTATTATTGATTACAATAATATATTTATTGAGCGGCAATTATTCACTCATTGTATGCAATGTATTATGCACTTTACCACCTGGAATTTTAACTTATTTTCAAATAACCAGCAAAAATGCCATCATTAAGGCTTGTTTTTTTTCTCATCACATTTATTTCATCTCAAATGTTAAAGTTAAATTGAGTGAAATTGATGCAAAAAAGAAAAAGTAGTGAGAAGTAGCGGCAGCAGCAAATTATTTAGATGCATTAGCAATGGGAACTTCAGAAGTGCAGATGCATAAATCTTTCAGTTATTTAATTTTGCTCAAATGGTAATTGTTTAACATTCAGAAATCGATCATCGTCTATTGGCTTATCTGTGGCTTATCATTCGCTTCTGATGCCATATATGCTTCTATTAGTTGTTATTCCTACATTAAAATAATGACATTAATGCTTTTGTTTCATTATTGTACGATGGGAAATATCGATAATAAGGTTTGAATAACTTTCCTTCTAAACTTAATTTTTGGCAAATTTTTAATCTCTAACCTCGTGTACAGTGTAAGCTTATGAAGTTTCATTCTGGTTGTGTATCTTTTTAAATATATTTTATCCGTTTTCCTTCTTTTTTTTTAGTGTGTTCCTTTCAATAATACACTTTCCGGAAATACAAGATATTCAAATCGGTTGAAAGGAAGCGGAAGAGAATGGATCGCAAATAAGCAATCACAATATGGACGTACATGTGAAGATGTGACAGTGGGATGTGGTGAAAGCACGCTTAATACTCTTAAAACAGTATCAAAAGAGAACGTAAGCATTATGCGGGTGGTTTTTATATCACATGAATGCTTTATGCAAATGTTGTGGAAAAGTTTGAAAATTATAAATTTTTCATGCATAATTATTTTTCATAAATTGCAGTGCAGTGTTACGGGCTTGAATATTATAAAATTAAATCCGACAATAGCAACAACAACAACAACAACAACAACAACAACAGCATATTCAGCAGCACAATTATGTTCATCAAGAACCGCAGCGAAAAGCGGAAGAATGACTGAAGATGAGAAAACTGAAACTACGGAACAAAGCTTAGTATTAGCTGCGGCATTTGAAAAGGTGCCAAGTTAATTTATGAAAATTTTAAACAACAGAGGCAATAATTTTCACAAGTTAATTTAATGTAGCTTATTTATTAGTATTATAAAAATGTGTAAACAACAATCGGTAAACTATTTTACTTAATTTTGTTTGCTAAATGCTCTGCATTTGTTATATCGATTTCCTGTATTAGCTATAGAAATGTTAATGTTTATTTCAAAATCATCAGCTAACGGATTGCACGGAAAACTCGACAAATACTATCGAAGGACTTGTTTCATTTCCCGATTCACAGGTTTGTGATGTATTTCTGTTTCTACTTGAAATGCATAAATATCAATCGATGAACTATTTTACTTAATTTTGTTTGCTGAATCCTCTATATTTATTATATCCATTTTCTACATGGACAGCTTAATATTGATTTGAACATACATAGTTTGTAGTTATTTAAAAGATTTAACAGGTGACAATTCGAAATGACCACATTGGACCAGTGATACTCGCTTTTACCAATAATTACAAAAAGCCAGTGGCATGGGCGTTAAAAACGAATGCTATAAAGCGTCTTGTCGCATTTCCAACTATCGGAATAATTCCGCCCTCAGAAACAGTACAAGTTAGTATTTTCTTTTTCTCGATTTTTAAACTTCAAATATTTCTTTAAAATCCTTCATAATTTGC